TTTTTGCCCATCCATCTACCACTTTTTATTTGGAAAACTGAAATCCACTATTGAGCTGGCAAAGTGCTATATAAATGCACCATGTTATTTAAAAAGACAAATTTTGAATTATGGATGTTTATTCTGCCATAACGCTGGGGGCAGGCTGGCTTGTGTATGTTAACCTGCCCACAACAGCTCCTGTGCCCCTCATTGATTCCAAGAAGACTAACAAGGTGCTGCCTGCATCCAGGATGAAATCTTAGGCTTCTTTTTGCCACCGTGCCCACTTCTCCCATCCTTTCTGTGGCAGTGCTTCTATACAGCTTGCAGCTTCCCTAACAACTTTGCAGAGGGGAATTTCTAATGCCCGAGTCGCCTGTTTGAAAGTAAGAACGGCATGAGACCAAACGGAATACAGATATAATATTCATCTTCTTCCATGCTGTTCTTTTCCCAGTTTGCACAGATTTCAATGTGGTGCAATTGCAAGTGGCAGTACTTCTGAACTGCGCTGACCAGACATTAAAGCCATGGAGTAGCTAACTAAATAGACATATGGAAAAATACATGTTAGGACCAGTGTTCACTATTGGCACTGTATCAGATCAACAGTCTATTCTGCTGTGGTAACTTCCACTTTCATTTGTCAGTTCCTTCTCTCTGAGGTTACTCTCCTCTTTCTCCTCTTCACATCTTCTTTTCAGGAGTCCCAACCTTTCTGCACATACAGAAGAGAGAATTTTCTGTTGTAAATCTTGGTCAGTGTCACTTTGCCTTTGCTGGTCCTTTTGCAGGAACTGGTCTCAGCAGGAGCACAGCTGGAACATTGCAGAGGGACTGCTCATCCCTGTCACACAGCACCATGTCAGGTTTAAAAGCATGAGCCTTGGATCCCTCTGTCCCTTTCTTATGAAGTCCAGCCATGCTCACTCTGATATAGCTTCAGGGTCTCCTGCAAGAAGTCAGTCCTTCATGGGTAGTCTTGCTGAGCACCTTCACTACTTCCTGGGTTAAGGAACCTTTCCATCTCAAGCATTCATCCTCCCAGGCTGCACAAATCTAATGCACTAAACCTCAGGAGGCCTGTTCTCCCAAATGTTTACTATTGCTGCATCTCTTGTAGTTACTGATAAACCAGACAGTGTATGATTAACCCTCCAATATTGATGTCTGCATGTTGTTTTAACCCCATGCCAAGACCTCTCTTTCTCATACTGCTGTAAGCAACATCTCAAATTATTTTGACTACTCACCCTGCCTATCTTTTACTCAAAAGGAGAGATAAAGCAAGTAAGCTAGGCTTTTTTCTTTTAGCTTTCTCATCTTTGTACTACTGCTTCAGTGTCATTGCTCTGACTGACACCTTCAAGAAGAAGTTGGAAATTTAGGTGCCATCCAGCCTTACTTATTTCAGTACAGGCCCATGCATCAGGCCACAATCACTGTTAAAAGGCTGCAGCTGGCATCCAACAGAACTGAATACAAGCAGTGGCATCACCGTTAGTGTGTCAGGGTTATGCTTGCATCTGTTCAAACGAAGTTATGTTCTGTAAATATTATGGCTTCGGTAGCTGTTGCTGTTGTTGTCATCAGGAGAGCGAGTAAAACTGGCTAGAATGCAGAGCACAGCCTCTTCGAGCTACTGTCTGCTAGAGCCTTCTCATCCCATATTTTTGTCTCTTTTCTTGGGCCTGCTGGACATAGTGGGGCTAGAATAGCTGTACCAATAGTGAAAAGAGAAAGGAAAAAGCTTCATGTGAATTCCCTCACCTTCCTCAGGAAATTCATCCATCATTAACACCTCTATTTTCACTTCTGTAGGTCCAACACTAAGTGATGATGATAGGTGTATTGTTTTTCTGGAGCACAGCTGACTTGCATCAGATGACAACCAGGATTGAAACTAAAATGATAGCAGTTTCTTTCTGTTAAGAGCATGTGAAAAGCTTTTAAAAAGACACTTTCTATTTCTAACCCATTCTTGAAAAGAAGTATTTTCTCAACAATCAGCAAAAAGGACAGGTCACTGGTGGAAACGTACCCCACTTGCTTGCTTACCAGTCCTGACATTAGAGGTGATATCACACATGCAATCCATTGTTTCCAATGCAAGTTCTTTCTTCCGTTGTGTTTTCTAGGTCTATTTCTGCACTTTTGAGGTGCTGCACACAGCTGGGTTTGAAGATACATATTCCATATGTATCACTAGGGGTTGGTTTCCGTGTGTTCCTTCCCACTCTGATGTGTGTAAGAGGCACTGTATCAGGGTGTTACTCAGGCTTTAGCTGTGCTTACAGTGAAGTGCGTGCTTTTCCTGCCCTTCCAGACCTTTACCATTGAACAGTTTGGCAGGAAGACGCTGCTGTGGAAGGGCTACGCTTTCATGGCCTTGGCACTCACAGTTATTGTCTCCCCTCAGGTAAGAAGAAATTTTTAACTATTTTATTCCCATTTCTGTTTCACACCTAAAGACTGGTGCGTTTCATGTCACAGCGACAAAACAAACTGGATGTAGACAGCTACAAAGTGAAACTTTGCCATCATTGTCATCACTTTGTTTTCATGTTCAAGGTGCTGTAAAAGGAGAAGCAACAACAAAAAAAATCTTTCTCTGGTTTATTTCCAGGAAAACCTCATCTCTTTCTGCTTCCTTATCTTTACTGGGATCCTCATCAGCTCAGGCATCTTCATCTACCTCTTCCTTCCAAAGGGGAACTTGGTTATGGAAATAACCAAAGAATTTGGCGCTTTACATTTTATGAAGAGACCTGATTCCTTTACAGGAAATGCTTCTCTTGAGGAACTTATCACCTACACTTGCTGCTAGCTGGTCAGCAGAAGGACCATCTATTAAGTAAGGTCATAAAGGACCTTACAGACTGCAAAACAAAACAAAAGCAAATTATTTGTTTTCTATTATTGGAAAAGATATTAATATTCCTTCATAGACACAAATGGAATCTTCATGAATGAAAGTCACTCTCATATCACCTTAAAAACCTGAGAGCAGTCATCATAACATAAAATATGTGCTACACTAAACTTATAGATTTCATTTAGGAAAGGTTTTGTGCCTAAATGTCTTCTTTAGTTCCAGTCTCTGTGATTTTGCTATTCAGAATTTTGAGTTTTGGATTATAACAAATCCAAAGTCTCAAATCAAACCTAGAAGAAACCACTGAGTTCCTCTCAGTGTGAAATTAAACTGCAGATGGCTTCAGTCATCCACAATGAGCAATATAGTCTAGATCAAGCTGGTTTAGACAAATTTAAATGACACACCTCATAAAAGTGAGTTTCATGTGTTTGTCCATTTCACAGCAAGCATTTCTTACAGCTCTATATAGAACAAATTAAAAGATCTCCTCAACTCTATAATAATTCCTTAAACATGAAACCATGCACAACTTTCATAGTGTATTCTCTAGACTATATGTGAAATTTTTAACAGAAACAGTCAATTCCATTGACTTGACAAAAAACAAGAGGTAAATTCCTGGATCAAATAACCCTAAAATTGCTGATATGGTGAAACAGTACCATGCTATACAGTCATGTGCAGCGCAGAATCATCAGAAATCCCCAAAAATGTAAGAGAAATTTCACTGATACAATCTCAGAAAAATTATGTAATAAAAAGGAAACATTAGCATTTTGAAACAATAAATAGTCAATAGCTATGCAACTTTCATTTTTGTACAAAGTGTTACAATTGTTGGTGTTCAAGAGAAAATACTTAGAAAAATGCCAAATCATTCTAAATGCTACTGCAAGCCAGAATAAACAACATTTGCTATGCAGTTATATAGGCAATAGTTGGAATTACACAAGTAACCAAGGTTTTATTATTAACATGTATTTTTTCTCATTTCTTTAGACTCACAGTATTTGCAGTAAACCCCTCTGTAAATAATTGCATTCTGTGTTTTATGAACTGAAAGTACAAGTCCCAAGGGTGAGCTTGGGCATTTACTGAGGGCTTCAGTACAACCCCATTGCCCCATCTGCCCCTACCCCAAGCCTTGGGGGTGGGGGAAAGTCCCCTGGCATGAGTAAGAGCAAGCAGAAAACTCTGAAAGCAGGAACAACACAGGGCATCAACCACACATGAAAGCCCCAGGCAAACTCTTTCTTCCAAGTGCTGTCTCTAGCAGAAGACATGTAGAGCTACAGTTCGGGCTTCCCCTCACAAGAGAGGAGCCTCTGGGAACCAAAGGTGACTTTTCAATGGCTACAACACTGATTTTGGAGTTGTTATGTGTCAAAGCTGAAACCTGAGGGATTCAGATCCCAGTTGTCCCATCATAACTCATTAGGGAATTTCTACCTTCTTTGATTACTCTCATGAGTAAGTGGGTCTTACAGTTACTGGATGTTTCAAGCGGAGCCTTCAGGACCAGATGCTCTATTCCAAAAGCCTCTGCCAGGGCACAATATCTCTTACTGCCTTTTCACCACTCCTGGCCAACAAACATCCCCATAAACACCAGACAAGAAATACCCTTCCTCAGTACAGTCTAACTGATACATAAAGCCAGAACAGCGGAATTAGGCTTTGAAATTTGCCTGTTTTTCATCTAATAAATCATATTTGCTATACCAATGAATCTGAAACAGAACACCACATATTTTACTTAATACTGAATAACAGCACCTAAACCTCATACCAGCTGCTTTTTGCTTTGTGTAGATTATGGCAGAGGTACTCCTCAGTCTGTATCAAGAAGTAAAGTATTTTACTGTTCCTGGAAAACTGTTTAGATTTTTTTGCCTGAACTGTTCTCCTTTCCCTTTCCAAAGCCCTCACTACCCCCCAGGTGCAAACTTCCTCTCCTTTGAAACTTTCCCCCTGCGGACTGGACTAGATGCAATTATTTCCTGAAATATTTAATCTGGCAGTGTTAACTTTGGCCAGTCAAAGTAAATATAAGTGAGTGAAGACGAAATAGTGAAAATTTAACTCTGGTCCCTGAAGCCAAATGCCCACTGCCATACCAGCAGGCAGGAGACAGAGACACAGAAGCCTGTGATGACAAAGACACATCACACACTGGACAACCAGCCCCTACCCAGAGATGACCGGATTCCTATCAGACCTGGTAAGTACTTGTATTTACATATGTGACATTTTTGTATGCTACTAGTATTTCAAAGAAAACAAAATCAGTATCTCAGTAAAAACAACAAGGCTCTTATTCATTAAACACATCTTGGAAGTGGTTTTGCCCACCATTTTGAGGTATTACAGATGTTTGCACTTCATATCCACTGCCATCCATCTTCGTCTTATTTTTATCAATACATTAACATTTCTTAAATGTTTTCATTTACTGGAAAATATTTGCTTACCTTCAAACATAATTTGCTTTCTTACCTGCTGAAAAAAGAGTTTTGTTAAATATACCACTAATTATTCAGTGCAAGAGATGGTAGGCAGAGGTTTTGAAAGGCAGGGAACAGGACTGGATGTTGGCAGCCGTGGCATCTTGACAGGGATGTTTGTGGAAGCCTGCAGCATTTATATTTGCCATGGTTTAACCCCAGTCAGCAACTAACCCAGTCACCACACAGCCGCTCGCTCACACCCCCCCCAGTGGGATGGGGGAGAGAATCGGAAGGGCAGAAGTAAGAAAACTCGTGGGTTGAGATAAGAACAGTTTAATACTTGAAATATAATAATAATAATAACAAGAACAACAACAACAATAATAATAAATTGTAATGAAGAGGAAAACAAGGAGAGAGAGAGAGAGAGGAACAAAACCCAGGAAAAACAAGTGATGCAACTGCTCACCACCTGCTGATTGATGCCCAGCCAGTCCCCAAGCAGTGATTGCTGCCTCCCAGCCAACTCCCTGCAGTTTATATACTGAATAAGACATCATATGGTATGGAATATCCCTTTGGTAAGTTTGGGTCAGCTATCCTGGCTATGCTCCCTCCTAGCTTCTTGTGCACCTGGCAGAGCATGGGAAGCTGAAAAGTCCTTGATTTAGCGTAAGCACTACTGAGCAACAACTAAAACATCAGTGTGTTATCAACATTATTCTTGTATTAAAACCAAAACACAGCACTATACCAGCTACCAGGAAGAAAATGAACTCTATCCCAGCCGAAACCAGGACAGTATCCTGGCTACAGCTGAGTCTTGAACCCAGAGTTCCTGCCTCACACATCAGTGAGGCACCTCCAGTTAGGACAAAGCCTCTTTGAGAAAGAGCTCTCAGCTCCTGCCAGGCACACTTAAACTCTCATCCAGGAAAGAGGAATATGGCAGGGCACCTCTGAAAAGCTGATGATTTTTCGTTCATTCATGGCATATTCACTATGTCCTGCTGCAAAGGCTGCTGTAGAGTAAACCTAAGCGCAGTGCTGGTTGTGTATTTTCAGATCTGTAATCAACTAGGAAAAAAAATCAGAAAAAATATCAGTGGGATGCCTGTTCTCAAAGCTCCCAAGAAATTAAGATGACCATGCTGCTTGAGACAGGCAGGTGGGGCAAGAGTTGAGGACTGATGATGGTAATAAGAGCTAGAAACGACACTTTCCTCCTACAGCACATCTTAAGCAGAACAATTGCAGAAGGGAACTTCTGTCCCAAAACCTTTCCTTGCTGTTCCCTCTGCTCCATCTAGGTAAAAAAGTATGGATTTCCAAGGGCTGCCACACTGACAGGAATCTGAGTGGAAAAACATGCTGTAAGCAACACCGGTCTGGTTTTTTTTCCACATTTCAGAATTCTTTTTTAGCTGCTGTGGGTGATTTCAGGAGGCTTTGCCACAAAACTTGAGTTGAGCGATCACTGCCCACTATTCAAGGGCCTGAAGGGTAGCTAGCACAGCAGCTGCTCTTTCAGATAAGATAGGAAAGGTCTGGGTACAGAGGGCCTGGTCACTACTGTGGGCACAGGTCTGAGCTGCAGGTAGCCTGGCCACTGTCCAGATAGCAGAGAGGAAAGTAAGACCTCCGTCCCCAAAACCACTCTCACATGTTTTAGTCCTGGAATGTGGAATGACCTTCAGCTTGCTACTCTGTTGACTAATTATTGAGAAGAGGAGGGAAATGTAATAGTTTCCATAGCTAACGGCTGCATTTCCTTGAGCTGGATGTAAGGAAATCACAGGAGGATGTACACTTCACACCAGGGCAAGCAGAGGGAACATGCCTATCTGCAAATCCCTTGAACAAATGAGACATTTCTGGAGAATGAAAGACACATTCCAAAAACAGCCTGATGTGGCTACAAGCTTAAGAAGATTTTGTTCTACCTCTGCAGGTACAGTACCAGGGGCTCTTTCAAATGATCACTGTCCTGGGGATTGGTGGAACATTCCAAATTGGCTTTCAAATTTCTACAATCACCTACATGTCTCAGGTAGGCAAAGACGCACATGGCACACTGGTTAACGGTGCCACTGAGTCTACATTCCTGCCTGAGGATGTTCTTCTCTGGCAGTCACAAGGGTTTAATCACAGTATTCTCCTCTCACAATTCTTTCCCATTACTACGCCACCATGTAAAGCAGAACATGTCAAAGTGTTGAAAATAGAAGAAAAGAGAGAGACCTGCAAGTGGTTGTTTATAGAACTGTTCCTCAGAAGATGCACACTGACTGGGGTGGCATCTGTCTCCCTTATAAACCTACAGCACATGTACCTACTTCAGTGGTCTCACTTGACACTGTTCTTCACTACAAGTCCGTGCCTCAGTTCCTCAGATTTCAAGGACAAAAAAGCAAAGAATGAACTCCTTTTAATGGCAAAATGAACACATCATACTCTATTACACTATGTCTATTAGCTAATGCACATTTTTAGAGTCTTTATGAAATAGTGACTTTAGCTGAAGCAACAAAATTATGTTCTAAATATAATAAAATACACGCACTGGAGTCACAGTTATTGTTAATGAAAATTCTTTTTTCTGTCTCAGCATGTTAAGGCTTTCATTAATGAAACTTGGCTGGAGCGATATGGCTACCCCATCCATCAGGATAACCTCTTGTTCCTGTGGTCTATCACCGTGTCTATCTTTGGTATAGGAGGTCTCTTGGGTTCTTCAGGAAGTAGATACTTGACTGTCAAGTATGGCAAGTATGTATGTTTAAAGACTATTTGTCAACTGAATCTTAGCTTAAGGAAATGACAGTTGAGGTTTTAAATGTGAGACAGACTTTTGGGCTTAGTAATGGCTATAATACAGCCAGCTTAGCAGTGGTATCAACAGATTTTGCTGCTTCTTGCCCTTGTCCTGTGGCACAGGCTAATCAACTGTGCTGCCAGCCTGTTACACCAGATGCAGTTACGCAGGTTGAGTTAATCTCGGCAAGGAGGAAAGGCAGCCCCCTGGCTGAAGACAGATTGGATTTCTTGGAGGTGCTACTCAAAATACAGCAGCATTGAGATGCTCCTAAGCGCTACATCAATGTGTTTCATGATGGATTTTCAAGTGCAGAAAAGCGTTAAGACTCTTCGCCGCTACAAAATCCAGAAGTGTTCCCAAACTCCCAGGTCTAGCCAAGGCACACTGTGAGTCCAGAGCATCCAGTGCCAACAGTGTGGAAAGGCTTATTTTGTCCCGGACCACATATGTATAATTTCACAAAATTAGCAAGACAATTTCACCCAAGACATCCTACATGCCAGGAGATTACGTGCCATTTTCCTTCTGGTTTACAAAAATTCTTTTTACTTTCTTGCACTTACAGAAAGAAATGTCTTCTGTGCAACAATCTGCTCATGATAGTGGCAGCATCCATCATGGGCTGCAGTAAAATAGCCCAGTCCTTTGAGATGATTCTAATTGGACGCTTCATGTGTGGAATAAGTGCAGGTAAGTGCACAGGTCAGCAGGCTTTCCCAAAATTTTACATCTTCATTCAAAGTAAATAATAACCCTCCACAAAGAAAATAAAACATTTAAGTCAATGATCCCTTATCAGAAGATCTTCCATAACACCCAGCAATAAAGAGCATAATCACTACTAATTTTGCTGATACCAAATTAAATTCAGCTTTGCCAAGTGCATAAATATTCAAAGCTGTCAGGAATGTTTTGATACAACATGAAACAAGGTTTTTTTTCTGATGGAAAAATATGTATAATATTTTGGTTAACAGTACTGGAAATTATATGGTATATGGTTTAAAGCTAGTTTTCTCATAAGGCTCCAGAAAACCAGGCTGTTCAAGGCCATGGCCATTTAATTTTGACTCTGAACATATTTCAGGAATGTTCTACAAGGGTATTCAAACTGCTTCAAAGCAGTAAGTCCTTGGGGTTAGTACAAAGAGCTGGACATAATCAAGCAAAATCACTCCTGGCAGGTAGACCACATGCAGCAAAAACATCCTGTGCTGGTATCAGTATGCCTTGTATTTGTCTCCTACACAAAAAACTGCTTTTTCATTCAGTTTAGATATTAAAAGGGACGCCTATTTTAACTTATTTCATTAGAAATTAATGTCCATTTTTCAAATAACCAGATTTCGTACATTGCTTCTCTGACAAACTGTTGTATTAAAGAACTACAGTTCTATTTTGAGAACTACTCACTCACAAGGGCCCTGCTATGGTCTAGAACCTGTATCATACCTCATGCAAAGACCTAATTTTTGTTAAAGAGATTGCATATCTGCATTGCTCCTGCCACGTAAAGCCAGGAGAACATGTTGCTTTCAAAACAGATAAAAGGGGCTGTGACCACCATGTCAGGAAAAAGCTCTTGTTCCCAGACTAGTTTTCAGAATGTCTGAGTTATTAAGTACTTCACATATAGCTGGAAACATCAACTCTGCCTGAAATCATCAAAATTATTGCTGGACACTGGAAAAGATATACTTGTGTCTCCCCCTAAACCATGTACAAATCAACATTGAATATAGCACTGAATATTTTAATCTGCTATGGATCTACCATACAGCTCTTCCATAGCATTATGTCAGAAAAGGTTGAGATTATATGGGTTAACTAGAAGCATATTAAATATTACTACAGGGAGTTTAGTTATTCAGCACTTGCATACTCTGTGTCCTCTAAAATATGCTAAGACTCACAAGAGATACTATGATTAGGCTACATGTACACCCCAAAGGGAAAACTGTACATTTCTTAAGATCAGGAAACTGCACTATGAAAAGAGGACCACTTTTGTAGAAAGGGTTAGAAAACCTAGTACTGAAAAATCTCATACGTGGGTTGAGGTATCAGAAACAATTAGGTGAATGAGGCAGCTATATTCTGTAATGCTTAATTATTTACATGCAATTTTACTTCCAATGATTATGAATGTCTTCTTTCTTCTCTCCCATAATTCTCTCCCCACCTCAAGGTCTTTGTGCTCCTCTACATCATCAATACGTTGGAGAAATTTCCCCTAGGAAGCTACGTGGATTTGCAAACTCTACTTCCTCTTTCTTTTGGTCACTGGGAAAAGCCGTAGGGCAAATTTCAGGACAAAGGTATAATACAATTGATTTCCGACCCAATCAGTTCTAGATCCCCTCTACATTTTGCGTTTTCCTCTGCTTTTCCATGCATTCCTTTCTCTCCTCAAAACCAATGCAATGAACTTTTATCCTACACACAAGTTTTATCCCTGCCAGGGAGCTGCTGGGCAGCCAGTCCCTGTGGCCCATGCTGATGGCCTCCTGTGGACTTCCAGCACTGGTGCAGCTGGTGACTTTGCCCTTCTTCCCTGAGTCCCCACCATATCTCCTCATGCATAAAGGAGACCAGGAAGGCTGCAAAAAAGGTAACTGAGGGCTCCAGGTTCTTGTTCCTCACTTGACTTTCAATTGTTGTGTGATGTTCGCTCTCCCCATATGGGAAAAAATAAACAGGACAAAGTTTCTCCCTGCTCATTTCCCAGATGACTCTGTGAATACCTACTAAGTATATTTTTGTTGTAGTCCCCACATAGAACATGAAACTATTTCTCTCTACAGTTCTGTATCACAAAACCTTTCACATTCATCTGACACCACCTGTGCTGTCAGTCTGATGATAAATGATAAATGATAAATGATAAATGATAAATGATAAATGATAAATGGCTGTTTGCACTGCAGGGCTCCACAGGGCACCCCTTAGCTCTTGTTGGCTGTGTACCCCGCTCATACCCTGAGAGAAGGATGAAGGGAGAAAAGTAGAACCCATGGGCAGGGAGGGAGTCATTGTGCACCCGACTAGGCCCCTCTGTCAGAACAGGTCCCTCTGTGCAGGAGGGGACCAGAGCTCTGGAACACCCTATAGGACATCTCTGCCTCACACCAGAGCCACAGCCATGCATGCTGTGCTGCCAGATGTGTGCATCACCTACTCAACAAACTCCTTAGGCAACAAACAATAGAGACAAATTAACATGGCAGGTCTCACTCTCCTTCTCCTCCACAGCCATAAGGCAGCTTTGGGGTGAAGGCCATCACCAAGCAGAGATTGATGACATCATGAAAGAGAAGGCAACAATGAAAAACACCAAGATCTTGAGTGTCCTGGAGCTAATGAAAGAACAAGCTTTCCGTTGGCAGCTGTACATTATAGTTATTCTGACCGCCACAGTTCAGCTATGTGGCATCAATGCAGTTGAGTGGTTTTCCCCCTTAAAGTCTAAAACACTTATTGACAACCTTAAAGGAGACATCATGGCTTCCAGGAGTTCCCTCCATTTTTCTCAGGCTTCTCAGGCCACAACATGCTGTCTGCCAGCCCAGCTACAGGGCAGCAGCAGCAGTCTGCAAAGATTGGCCGGGCTTTTCATGTGACATTCCTTTGCTCAGTTCTTGGTCCTTGCTGGAGTTATCTTCCTTGGTAGTTAGGCTTATTTAACAGTCATTTTTGGAAGCTGTTACAAAGCCTCAGAATCCACTCTTACAAATGAGCCCACCCTATATTGGCAAAATCTGCAGTGTAGTTTTATGTTACTCCTCTCCCTGCAACTGCTACTATTTGCCCCCTGGCTCTTATCATCCCAAGATGTTGGGACCGCAGTACGCTCACTCTACCTTTAAAGCTAATCAATGAGCATGCTCACTGTTCTGGCAGCTTCCGCAGTTCTCCCCCTCTTCCTCACAGCAGCACTTTTCTGGGATTGTTTTGAAGCCACAGCTTTGCAATTGCCTGCATGATTCTTCTACCTCTAACATCATGATGCAGCAACATCTGTAAAGGAAATACACAGCTGAGTCTCACACAGCTTAAACTGGAATCTTTATCATCTCAGCATATCTCCAAACAATAGCAGAGATACTTGAAAAGAAAAGATGCTTGTTTCACCCCCTCACAACTCCATAACCCATGCTCTTCTTTCTTGTGAATATTCTACAATGATGTGTTTGGATGGGCTCCGGAAGAGACAATATATCTGGCTCTTTCTGAAAGCACCTAAATCAGGACTTTGCAAACCTAATTACATTGCAGCAGCTGGAGATCCTTTTATCCCAGCATTTTATCTTTTACCAAATTAATTAATTAATTAATTACATTTTATAATGTTTTTGTCTGCCAATAAAGTGAATACTACCAAAAAGAGTGCAGAATTCTAGCTCACTCCAAAGCTGAGCTGCATGCTCCTTGGTTAGCAGCTCCTATCCAGGGCAGTGTCACACAGGTATGGGTAAGAAATCAATTATTTTCTTCTCTTACTGTTTTATGGGTTTTTTTCCAGATTTATTTTTATACTTTTGAAGTCCTCCAGGCAGCCGGCTTTGATGAAAGAATGATCTCCTATATGACCCTCTCTGTTGGACTCTCTGAACTCGTAGCTACTGTAGTCTGTGTAAGTCACATTACTATGAGAATGTGTCACAATTTGCTCTTCTGGCACTGACACCAGTGTGATTTCTGTCCTTCAGAGCTCCATCATTGAGCGACTGGGCAGGAAAGTGCTCCTAAGAGGAGGCTATTGGATCATGGGTTCACTGCTAGCTGGTATCACCGTGACTCTCTCCCTACAGGTAAGGAAACTCTTCTGATGGCAGACCTCTTTCCATTATCTATTCTGTTTCTAACCTCTGCTCACAGGCAGGATCATGCTACTAAGAATGGAAAGTGAGGCTTAGAAGTGCCAAAATAACTTCTGTGTTAACCCTCTGGGAGGGGAATATCTTGAAGATTAAACCCTCTCTCCGCAAGTACTCTCTTGTACTCCTGCCTTCCTTTCAACATGATCCCATGAGCTCAGCAAGGAGCATATAAAAGATGGGAGACTAGCACCAATTCCTGATTTCATCAGACTGCAAGGACAAAACACTGGCCAGTGTAGATCAAAAGACGGTTCTAGGAAAATGTCAGTTTTTAACAAGTAACAATAAAAAAACAGACTCTTTGCATCAGTTAATTTGAAATTTAACTTTGCTGTAGAAGATACTGGGAATGCACATATCTGTTCACAGACTGGAGACCAGTTCAACTCTACAACACTGTGTCATTGCTGTAGCTTCTTCAGAAGCCAGTCTCCTGGGTTACCAGTATTCATCCAAGAGCTACTCTATAGATACTACTGTAAAATTAGCCTTGAAGCAAGGTGGCAGCAGACTTCCAGTTTTGCTTCATTCTTGAAGGATCTCAAACATAGGAGAGAGTAATCTTTTTTCCCAAAGCATCGAGTCTCATATCTTCTTGATTAAGATCTAGGAAAGTTCCTTTTCAGTACCAGTTATTGAACCTATCACTTAATAAAAGTGAAGAAAGATATGATTTGGCCTTCCCATATTCTCTAAGGGCTGAGGGAAGCACCGTGGGGTCAAGAAGAAAGGAGGACAGGGTGGAAAAGTACTATTCAGACTTCCTTTAATTGAAGACCTCCAAGCTTGACAGCTGCTAGCAAACCTGCTTCTCTGCTCACCTAACAAAAACCTCACTGCTCCATCCACAGCAAAAAGCACATGCATTTCTCTGCCAGTTCCCCCACACTGTATATTTTTTCTTGAGGTGACAGTGTTGGAAAACAAGCAGCATTTCTCATCTACGGTTATCAACAGATTTCACCCAGAAGTTTGTTTTTTTTTTTTCCCAGGACTGGTATTTCTGGATGCCATACTGCAGCCTTTGTCTGATTATCTTGTTTGTAGTTGTCTTTGGAGTCGGGCCAGGTGAGTACTTCCTTCAAAAGAAATAAAGGAATCAAGTTATGTGAGCTTATTAATATGGCTAGGAAAATACTGCATAATATTGCATAACATTTAGCATAAGTAAATTCATTTAACCTAATCTTGTAGTCATTTAAACATTGTGGGTCCAATCATTGGCCAGAAACTTCAATGCCATCAGGTTTGGGTTTTGCTAACGAGAGGAAAGGAACAGAGAAAAAAGTACTCACTGGAAAAATACAGCAAAAATAGAGCAAAAGCAGATGGGTAAAATATTTTTTTAAAAATACCAAGAAAAAAGAAAGAAAAAGAAAAGCAAGAGTTCTTTTAAATTCAGTGTTGTATAATCTTACATCTTATCCCAGATAGACAGCAGTGCAGAAGACCCACTTCGGAGTAATTCTTTTCCTAGCATATACTACCTGCTCCTTTAAAGATTTTTTTTTAAAGCCTATTCATTTTTAAAATATTTGCCTACTGCCCTGGTTTCAGCTGGGATAGACTTAATTT